GTTTCAAATGAGTATCAAACAAAACTTCTCGTATCAGGGCGAAGCCCTGAATGTTCCTCCTGCCTTTTAAGGTCTATGGAGCACTGCTCGCTTTAAAGGTATTGATGGATATTTCGAATAAAGAATTTGGAGATAATTTTAAATTATTCTCATACACGCGTTAAGTATAAAGTGATAGGGTTTCGCTCCTAAAACATAAGTTTTACAATTAGCCTGCTTCATCAAATTGGAAACGATTTTTAAAAGGGGTTTTATTTCGACTTATGCTTCAGTCCAATGAATGAATCTTCAAGATCGGGTTTTTAGCTTGATATTTGTTAAGGATTGTTTGTTTTGACTTGACTCACTCAATCATTGATTCATATTGAGAGGTTTCTTTGCCTCTAGTTTGTTTTTCTCAATAATCGACCTCACACTTAAAACTAGTCGTCGTGCTCCCTCCATCCTTACTCGCCCAAGGCTTTACCCCACAAAACTCTTGAACTTGACAACAGCCTCGTTCCATGTAATTTTTACAGACTACTTGAACTACGCAAACCTAACAGAGATCATTTGCGCCTTTTGCTCTTTTGTTATTGGAGAACTCGCGCAATTAGCCTTCTGTTTAGCTCATGAACTTGAAATCAACTTAGGGTTAAAAAAAGTGAAAAACAAACCGCTAAATTAAAATTTGAGTAGCACATAATCAATGCTAAGTTTGTCTCTAATTCGTTTTTCTCGATAATTGGCCTAACATTTAATACTTCTCCTCGTTCTCGCTCAATAAATAGGTGCGCAAAATTTTTTTCATTTCTCTAACATACTAGAAACATGTTGTCGGTTGATCAACTCATAAGAGTGTTTAAAAGCTTAATACAACCAATTTATCACTATGCACAGAAGTAAAGCGGAGCTTTGCATAAAAAAAACACAACAAGCTAGCAGGCAGGAAAAAAAGCAAATAGGTCCAAAGAAAACGGAAATTATTTCGAAGAAACCACGCTTAAAATCTTTAAAATATTGTCTGGAATGATAATTGTTTGCGGAAAACATGTCCAGAAACACAATCGACGAGTTTTGATGAAAATTTTTGTCATGAAAAAGTTTGAAGTACAATTTTTATACAGAGATTTTTAAAGTCTAGTGCGACCAGGAGGAAAGCATACACATTATGGTTCCCTCGACCGACCCAAAATTAGCTTAATAAGCCGATAAAATTTAAGTCGAAGTCAGTTAGGCCGAAACTTTTTTTAAGTAAAAAAAGGAAAATATACGAAGTCAAGGTTAGTAGAATTAGAAATGGCAACATTAAAAAAATATATTAAAAGCAACTGCAATGTCAGTTGTATACAGCAAAAAAATTCTAAAGTGTGGCAACTAAGCCGACAAGAAATAAGCAGACAAAGATTGTCCCGACATTTTTCGGTTTGAAAAAAAAGGTCCTTACCTCCAAAAATGTCTATATTCTGACTTGATAACGCTTGCTTATCGCAAGGGCAATCAAACTAAAAATCAAAACATGAAAAACCAAATTTGAGCGTTAACAAAATTGAAGTTTTTTTCCTAAAAACTAAAAAAAAATCACTTATAAAGACTTATAAAAGAATATTCACTACGTTCAAGACTCTGGACCATCGTCCACCATATCAAACTTTTTCTCCCGAATAATTGCGCATATGCGTATAACTACCAAAAGTTTCCTGTATAAAAATGGAAAAAATAGCAAAAAAAAATACAAATTTTGGCAAAAATTAGTGAAGTTTAATTAATTGAGATTCTAGAAAGAGTTCCAACTTAGAAAAAAAAACTACACATTTCTGAAGGAATGAGTACAAAAAATAGCCAGAAAACTGTTGATCCAAGTTTTTCCAAGACAGTAAAACTCGCACTTCAACCTTGTTTTCAGCTGCTTAATTGCTTCTATTTGAAATGGCAGGCTCAAACGTTTGAAAATTTTTTCAACTTTTCCTTGTGCTTGATTTTGTTTAATCAAAATCGCTGAAACAACAATTGTTTTTTGCTCAGATTTCTTCAGTCAATTTTACACACATTTCCTTGCCAAATTCTGCTGCTTAACAAACGCAACTAAAACCATTTTATAAATTTTGAAAATTCGGCTATAAAATGAAGATTAGTTAGGAATGATCAAAATAGTAACACAGAATCGACGCTGATGTTGTCAAAAAAAGTAAATAAAATGAGCTCTTCATCTGGAATATTTCTTGAAATACGCTTTTCAATCTGATTTTTTTTAAAAGAAGGCAACGCAGAACTTCGTATCACTTGCAATACAATGAAGCGTAGCACAACAAGCTACCTAACAGAATTCGAAGTGGAACAGTTACAAAAAATGAAAAATTTCAATTCAGAAAAGCAGACAAAAAAACAGACAACCACTAGCATCGAACAAAACTTTCACAGTTTTTGATTGTTCACTAAACCAACAACACGAGGTTGGACATGGACGCCCATTGATCCGAAAACAAAAAAAAATGAAAATTGTTGTCAAAAAATGTTGTGCGATTAAATTGTTTGATATTGAAAGTATTAAATTACAATCGTCCTGATTTATTCAAACTCTAGAACAATGACACTCACATTTTATCTTTAGAACGATTCAAAAACAAAACACTAGCCGTGGTGTGGCAACTAATCGCTCAAACATAAGCTGGCATAGTATAGTCCGACATACTAAAATCAGTCTTCCCCACAAAAAATAATTTTCAGGCTCAGACAAAAACAATGTCCGGTTGAAACTCAAAACCCAGCCAATAAAGTGCAAATATAACCTCACCTCCAGACCAACTGGGAAGAGACTTGAAAATTGCTAAGGCTTGATATCAAAGCAACATCAATTTCTAACAAATTTGCTTTCGCAATTGTAATGATCGAAACTTTTTTTCATTAATTTAAACAGATTGAGAAAACTAAATCGAAAAGTTTTTTTCACCGCTTGAAAGTTTTTTATAACAATTTCAAAAAATTGGTCAGGCATTTTTCATTTTTGAAGCGCGTTTTTTATTTCGTTTTATAGCTTAACAAAATTATCGGACATCTCAAGCTTTTGAAATAATTGACCTTGAGACCAGGAAATACGTTTAAACTCCCTTCGAATTTTCAAACCTGCATTTGAACTGTCAAAAAAGTATGGCAAAATGATTGCGGTTTTTCGTAGAATTTCATTCTCGCCTAATTTCAAGAAAACAATTTAAAAAAACTTTTTTTCATTCAACGTTGCAATGTAATTTATTGAGCAAAAAACTTCCAAAAATCCTAGAAAAAAGCTAAGAAGTATTTCAATTTAATTTAGATTTGAAGGTCAGAACTATTTCAGAAATTTAATACGTCGGATAAATTTGTTAAAAGCGTTAGCAAGAATTAATATGAACATAAATTGAAAATCGACTGTCGAAAAATTAAATTTTAGCGCCAACTTACAGTATGCAAATTAGCACTGAATAGTTTAAAACTTAGGACAGAAGCGAAGCCGAGCTTCGGATCAATTATGACACAAAGCATGAATTTCAAAAAATCCAAAGTTTTTTCTTAGCAGTTACAATCCAGCCATTCTTCATCGCACTTATGAATCATTAAGGTTAATATTATGCCTTCAAACGATTTGATTATAAGACGTCTTCAATACTCCTTGTTTTTATGATCGGTTCCTTTATGGAACCGTGAAACTCATCAAAAAAAACACCGTTTAAATTTTTGTTAGGTTCAAGCTAGATTCGAACCTTGCTTTATTGTCGTCCCAAGCAAGAACGTACCTCTGAAACAAATAATAATCGTATTTAAATTTCCTATAAATCTAGCTATCAAATTGCTCAATGAACTTCAAATTGATTCCACAAGAGTGGAAGAGCTGAACTAGCTTTTATAAGATATTCAAAGCATTTGTGGCGTCGATCGAAGAGTATGTTTTGTTTAGATCCACTGTTCGACCGACTCGCCATGCAAGAAGGCACATGAGAGCTCCTTCAGATGCAAGTGTTCCATGATCCACAACTGCTGGGCTCCTGGGAGGTTCAACGATGCCACTTGCAAATTCGTCGCACCCCCCTTTGGAGTCAAATTCTACCAGCCATAAGCCCACTGCACCCCCGTAACATGTCATGACTACCCTATGAAACAACCCACTACCTAACCTAATCGACATGTCAATTTCAAGACCATCGTTGACTAATCAAGTGGAAACCAACTATGGACTCCTTGAAAATGTTTTGACCATGAAAAGATACCCAATAGCAATAAGCAACACTCGACAATCAATCAAACTGGCAGATAAGCAGCTGATCACTTAGATGCAACTGTATATGAACACCAGAAGCTCAACACCCTAATGCAAATTAGTAAAGTCCCAGATTATAAATTTGAATTTTAAAGAAACAACCTAACTAACAACCTTTCGACCAATTCCATGCTTTCTGTCTTCTTCTTTTTTCCATAGCTACTAGCATGGTATATTGCTAGAGATCTTATAATAAAAAGGGGTCGTTACATTTCGGTACGATTTACACGTACGAAACACAATTTAACATTTTGATCTTGTTAACAATTTGATCTTGTTTACATTTTATCTAGTTGCAAGGGGGTGGGGTTTCGTTTCAAGGTACAAAAATCAATCATGGTTTGTAAAATAGATCCCTTTCCTTTATGAATCAAAGAAAGCTTTTGCGTATCGGGTCAGAAGCGAAGTACAGAAACTGAAAATTGAATTGAATTACTATTTTACAATGAACAAGTAGTGTATTGTGAAAAGCACCTTTTTAAACGTGATCCCGCAAACAAAAAGGTTAAAATAAGGCTAAGTTAAAAATAATTCTTTCATTCAAAAACGTTATTTACTTACTGTATCACGAGATTTAAAAAAACTCACGGATGAATTTTTCATTTCGGATTAAAAATTTTGAGCCAATGAAGATATTTTGAAATATATATCTCTAAAACGAAAAAAAAATGTTTGATGAGCATGAAAAATCTCTTGTAATTTGAGATCGATCAAATGATTTTTGTTACTCAATTTCAAGTTTTTATGTTTATCTCTGTAGTGGTTATGATGCAATCTGGAATTGAAATAATGTGACATATATTTCATTCTCTGGCAAACAAACATAACAGCAAGAACAACGTTTTGATATTATTTTTTAGCTCCATTTACATACAACGCTGCAAAAGCCGTTGCACATCTTATATTTTAAAACCAACTCAAGATATATATCATTGCGATACTTTTGTATGATATGCATAGACGATTAAATTACCGATAGTTGATTTGGATGCTTACATAAAATGCAACAATATTGAGATATTAACATGGAGCTAACAAAAAAGGACAGATGATTTCGAGGTGAAATTTAAAACTAATATAAACTGTTCACTTTATATACAATCAAACTACACCAAGTTTAATTAGAGCATTAATGAAAAACGCCAGTTTAAGGCAAAGACTTAACATGGTTAAAACCAGTGCCAAGGCAATTAGCCACAAGATTTTGCGATCCGGACTTAAACAGTTTTCTGAAAATGAAACTATCGCCTTTGAGACCATTCTTTTTTCGAAATTACCTAAAACCTTGAAAAAATATCAGTCATTTCATAGAAGATAAGTTTTATGAAGGTCTAAATCAACAGTTCCAAAGCGTCATATGCCACAATTGTTCCATTTTTACTATTCGCATTAACGCTCGCCTCAAATCTTCGAACGAACTGTCTCCGCAAGGCGAAATAAATTGAGGGCACTACCATGATAGAAAGGTCCTGTCAATATGATCTGGTACTTACTATTAAAAAAGCAGACACAATAGATTGCATTTGATTGGCGTATCAAAAATTAGTCTTTTTTCCTAAAATAGGTGTATTTGTGCATTAAAATTATACAAGCAATATTCATTGCTTTTGAATGATAACAATTCCAAGTGAAATCTTAGAGGACTAGTCTATCATATATTATTATACCTAATTCACTTCGCTTCTGAATCTGTTTTGATTTCATCAACAGTCCTTAAGCATAGGCATCACATCTGAGACTGAGTCGTGGTCTTGTAGTCTCACTTTGCCACCAGGAGATGAGAACCTCTTACCCCCGCCTATTTTGGGCGATCCCGTCCGTCCACTTCTCCCCTCAACGATCACCGCCAGAATCTAAACACAGTTGGAAGACTGAATCTTAAACTTAGAGTTTAGATAGATATCGGTAAGTTATAGAAAAAAGATCATACAAATTATGTTACGAAATGTTGGAAAACATCAAGAATAAATTTCCAGTATCAACAGAAATCCAACGAGAAAATAACATTAGGAATACCCCCAACCTCTCTTGACTCTTTCTCTCATCTTACTTCGCCTGGGCCAAAAGTGACCCACAATTTAGTTTAAAAAAGCTGTCGGAACAAAAATGGACCATTTATGAAATTATTTTTTATTTATACGGCTGCTGAATTCGAACAGAACTTCACATTTGAAACATTAAAAAAGGTCATTTTGAGCATCACTTTCAGTTTTGCCATCAGAGTTGCACTTGCATTGATAATCGAGTTTCAAAATTGGAACTATAGATGTAAGTGAAACGTGAAACACTTTCAATCGGGGGACAACTCACTTCTCTGGTCAACACTTAACACAACTTCTAGGGTGCAAATAGACACAAGTAAAACGGCAAAGTTAAGTAGATTAACAGGGCAAATAAAACAGCCAAGAGCAGATATTTAGCACTTAGAAATGAAAAACTGCTCGAATATATTCAACTCATATTATTACACTCTCAGTCTGAGTTACGTTCAGCCAAGTTCAGATTATTTTGATCTGCTGCATAAAAAACAGTCCTTCATCCAGTAAATCTCAATTAGAAGCTGGCATCGACGAAAATATACATCATTTAAGCAAATAATCGGGATCTTATTAACTATTTACACCCCACTGGTACCTTGTAACGAGACCCCCCCCCCTCAAAGAAAAAATTGGACAATTGAACATTTAATAATTTTGTACCTTGTAACGAATCCCCCCTTTTCGTAAATAACAAGATCCAATAATACATTTAATAGAGCTCACCAGAATGATCATTGGAAATTGCAGATTTTTTCAAAACAAGTCGACCATGGTGAGATTAATAATTTAACAAATTTTGGCCCAATTTGGTGCGAAAAAAAGCACCGCTGACTTCAACATTACTAGGGTGACACCAATATTGCAAGGACACCATATTAATGTGATAGTTACCTTCCTAGGAAACTGAAATCAAAACAGAAACTGATAGATCATTGTTAATAATCACTGATAAGAATGCCATTATGGACAGTGAAAACTGTTTACTGGGCTGTGGGGACAAAAAAAGTTCGTTCTTCGAAAAATATTACACAAACACAATCCGGATGTTTGCAGGTTTTGCGATGTAATAATCAACAGTATCTAGAGCGATGAAATAATCAACAGTATCCAAAGAGAAAGTCAACTGAGCTTTTTCAGTTTCGAAAATCTTTTATGATTGAAACTTTATTGATAAAACTAACCCAGCTTAAAAAAACTCGTTAGAAGGGCATTTTTTCTATTGCGCTGGAAAAGCCAAAACTAAAAACCATTCGCTCAATTGTTATCTCCATGCCAACTGTAAAAAAAAACGGTTGGTGGAAGAGTCTTCAATTGAACTGATAAGAATGCCAAGTATGAAAAATATTTAGTTCCTCCCACTTTGAATCACGGGTCATAAACATTAGACGGACAATTGATAACTTTCTGATCTCAACCAACAACTAAAAAAAACCATATGAAAAATTATTTAAAATAAAATTTCGACCTTTTTATTCTTTCAGTCTACTAGTAATTTAGCCAAGAATGTCTAGTCGTTCAATCTCTCTCATCTCATTTTAAATACTCAATATTTGTTTAGGTTGACTGTACTCCTCAATTCTCAACTGTCCTCCTCCGCTCTTAGTTCTCTTGTATCCAACTTATTTCAACTCATATCGCCTTTAGAGAGTTTAACCGGGAGTATCAGAATCTGCATTTTACGACAAACCGTTAGACAATTTTAGGAAAACTGCCGACACCTTGCCGGCTGAAGCACAATCGTTACAACAAAACAACAGGCAGCCTTCATCCATCTATTTGAGCACAAAATTCAACGTCTCCGCTGAAACCTTCATTGACATAACCTGCAACAATCAACTGCAAAACAACAGCCCGATATCAACATTTCACATCAGACGATTTGCTCTTTCGACATATAGCCGAATTGATGAAGCAGGACGCCGACGGAATTTCAACAGACTAACGCAGCCTCTCAGCAGACAAGGAAGCCACCATCTTAGTCTTCGAACTGCCGCCTACCCAATGGAAACCGATAGCTGGCCAACAATCAAGTCGACAGCCTTCTAAAGCGACTACGAAGAAGCCCCACCATGGAAGCTGAATACCCAGAAACTATCATCACGGATCATCGGAAAGTATCCATTATCACAGTACACGACCCTCCGGACTATTCGACAGGAAAATGGTGGACTATTCGTCAGGAAAATGGTATTTACTAGTCACAAACGCCTGCTGACACCCTCATGTATCAGTAACAAACTCACCTTCTTGCCTGCTATGCTAGGCCACAATGTACTCAAAGACTTCGCCGACAAATTCCTTGTTTTGTTGCCACCCACAGAAAGGACCATCTACATGGATGATCTTTATCAAGCAGTTTCAAGGCCTCCAAAAGCCACCAGCCTGAAAAATGCTCTTCAAAATTGTTCAGCCTTGAAAGTTTTAACTTGAAAAAGTGAAAAACTCACTCAGAAAAAAAATATATTTTCTAAGGAGCGTCGTCTACTCTCAACGCACTTGGAATGACGGTGTCATTGACAATCCGACTTCCAGAATCAAAAATAACTTGCCTGGACCACTGAGACAAACCCTTCAACCCTGAACCTCAAATGGATCCCAATGATTGCATAGACAATTGCAATCACTCCACCGACGATTGCCTGCTAACACAAACTGCAGTGCAGAAAAATAGCTCGACAAACAACTACATGTTTTCAAAAAAAGTCTCGAAACGTGTCCTAGCATCAGCGGCATAATTCAGGATCAATTGCGACGAAGACACAATGGAAGTCATGTTTATCATTTAAAAAACACGAGTAGTACCCCTCATAAGGATGATAACACCAAATCTTGAACAACAAGCCGCAATAAACGGAACCAAACTTGCACGGTCTGTCTAAGTAAAGCATGACATCATTATCTACAGCACGGAACTTTAACTGGACATTTCCAGTGTTCTACATTACACCAATTCTCTTATGTTTCGCGTCTCTATCTTGATTTAAATAATACAGCCAGGGACAAAATCAGATGACAACCAGCGAAACCGCTGTTTAACTTCTGACTAGCAGTCTTATTAATGGAGATTAATGAAACAAAGGGCAAAACATTTCGGCCAAACGAGCTGAAAAGAAAAACCAAAAAGACTATTGACAAAATGGAAACAGATAACTTCAGCACAAATATCGAAAAATTCGAAAATCTGAATCTACTGAAATTGTTAAATCTATAGCCAACTAAAAAAAGTGGCGTTATATTAGCATCGAAACCAAAAATTACGAAACGTTAGAAAGCTAAATCGAGCAGCTCTTTTTGGATAGCATGGCACGCTAGCCCACAAAAGATGGAACAAGTAAAACAATCTGTTTGAAAGTTTTTCAAATTAGATCCTCGGCACTTTTGACCAAATTTTTATGTTTATCTCGAATGATGTCCATTTTGAGGAGTTAAAAATTCATAAGGTAGATTAAATTTCTTAAGTAAAAAATACTGAATTGTGATGTTATTTAACGTCAAAATTCATACTCAATTTGGGTTCACGGATTCTACAGCTGAGTACCTTTAATGAGTGTCATTATTATGATGAAGATGATTACAGGAGCAACAAACTATTATGAGGATTGAAACATGAATTTGATTTGATACATTTTTTTATGCATGAAAAAAATTCTGTTCTTCCCACTGAATCACCTGTCAAAGCATTAATCAGAAAATAGAGAACGTTCAAGAAAACATTGACTACTGACTCAATCAATCAAGTAAAAGGAATTATCCCAATAGTGATTCAAAATAAAATCTCCACCTTTTGACCCGTTCAGTCTAGTCATTCGATCTCTCGCATCTCATTACAGATATTCAAGATTTAATAAAGTGTACCGTACCCACACTTTACAACAGTCCTTTCTTCGTTCTCTTGTATCCAACTTATTTCAACTCATATCGCCTTTAGAGAGTTATACCGGGAGTATCAGAATCTGCATTTTACGACAAATCGTTAGAAAATTTTAGGAAAGCTGCCTACACCTGGAGCATAATCGCTGCAACAAAACAACAGGCAGCCTTAATCCATCAATTGAGATTATATTTCAACGTCTACGCTGAAACCTTCAGTGACATAATTAGCAACAACCAACTAGGATTTTCAGCCAGCCGACGGCTTTATCAAAACAACAGCCCGATGTTAACACTTCACATCTGAAAGTTTGCTCTTTCGACATATAGCCGAATGGATGAAGTTGAAACGCCAACGGAATTTCAACAGACCAAAGCAGCCTCTCAGCAGATGAGGAAGCCATCACTATCTTACAGCCTTCGACCTGCCGCCAAGCCTCTAGACATTACGTTAAAATGCTTTGGAAAAATTATGTTATCACAGGTTCACAGGTTAACTTCTGATCTGTAGGCCTCTTTCTTGGACGTCCATTTCGTCATTCCATAAACGACCGTAACACGCTCATCACCTGATGATTCTTTCCCGTACTTGTAACAAATTCGGAGAGTCAACAGTTGCTAACTGAATCTGAAAATATGGCATAAGATACCCTTTTTCAGAACACCGAAGCTTCGTTACCGGATGCACGTTTGCCTCGACCGGCTTCATCCTACTTCGAATAATGTGCACAAGCTAGTAAAGGATTTCTTCGATGCCACGAGAAAGATTGAAAACCCTTTGGCCATTAGGAGCAGAAAAAGAGGGCAATGATGAAAGCCCGACTCTTCTTATAGTGGAAACGATGCTTTTCAATCTTCAGATCATTTAAGAGCCGGAATGACTAATAAGACGGGCTGTTTGTAAAAGGAGCGAAGTGGTGGAAACCACGTTTGTTTGAACAAAGAAACTGGTGGTTTAATAAAAATTTCAGAATCATCACCGATGATAATCTCAGCTGCTCAAATTTAAATTTTTGTCTTAATATAGGAAAGACTTGAAAGTTAAACAGCTACAATTCATGAAAAAAAAAACAAATTTAGTGATTTACTTAAAAGTTTTGCAAGTTATCAGATTTAATTTGCTCTAGTTATTGTTCCGACCATTTGAAAAAACTATTTGTATTTTTTCAGGACTATGGTCGGAACTTCCTGTGCTACTTGCACAGTAACCGGCTATCCTTCTTAGTAAAATTGTTTTGTTCTTAATATTACCATTTTTTTTACCTTTTAAACCTGCTTCATCTGACATAGTGCAAAACTTCAGGGTATTATCTTGAGTAGAAAGTTTTGAATATTCCTTAATTTCATCGGTTCAAACAGTAATTTAATTGTAACGCGGGACTGTAGCTTAAACTCCTTAGATGCAAATTGAGTTAAACTACTTAGTTGACCATGAGTTTAACTACTCTTAGGTGTGCCCTTCTAGGCAGTTGGATAGTTTGTATATGATTCTTTGTATATAGAATGTGTTAACTGTTACTGTAAATGAACTTAGAGGCATGCTAGTTGTTCTAATTAATGCATTACTATAAAAAAAAATTTTAAAATTGCAAAGATCTGAACTTTTTCTAGATATAGACTTTTTCTGGAAAAAAACGGTACTATAACACAAGCTCATTTGGTTAAAAATAGGTATAAGAAGTATAACATGCGAATATTGAATCAAAATCAAATTATGCAGGCTGGGCAAAACGTGCGGATTACGCAACTTGTGCGGATTACGCAATTTGAGCGGATTACGCATCTGGGTTGGATTACTCACCAAGATTACGGCAACCATTATGCAGATTATATAACTCGTGCTTACCCTCTGTTTCTTGCAGTACCCAACATATAGCATGCCGATGAGCACAATGGCGAGAAGAGAATAGGTCATGAAGCCAGTGGATTTGGACTCCTGTTCCTGAGCATTGAAGTACACCAAGTCTAAACACAAATTCAAGAAGTCATTTTTAGAAGAAAGCTTACTTCTACTCAAAAATATCCAACAGACAGACAACTGGATCTATACGCAATTTTTATTCCGCAGGAAAAATTAATAATTAAAACCCAGTAAAGAGGGTGATTTGCTTTACGGGCACAAATCAGGCAGAAATCAAAAGACAAGCCGTCAGAATAAAACTAGAGTGAATATCCAAAAATTAATCTTAACAAACAAAAATTCACTTTGTTAATTAACACTTAAAAATTAAAACAATAAAACTTTCCAGCTGTGCAGACATTATAACTTTTCAATTTTTCGGATATTCTTGAAATGAAGAAAAATAAGAGCACGATGAATTTCATCATAATTCAGTAATTTTCTAAAAGCTTTTTAATTGAATTTTTTTTTAAATCACGATCAAATTACTCATGTTATGTACAATCTAATCGTTTCTTTGGCATTATTGACAATTCTAAGCTGTTTTAACGATTAGCTTATAAAATTTTATTGGTTTTGCTCCGTCTCCGAAAAAAAATGGTAGTTATTGGTTTAGCCATGCAAATTTATCAAAATTTCTCTTAAACAATGTATCGAAATGAAAGCCTACTTTTATTCAGATCTTTTTTGAGCTCATCTGGAACACTTTTTTGGCTATGCTCCTCTTGATACACTGGACTGGAGTCGGCACCATCATCACCATTTGCGTTCTGCAGATCGACTGCCTCTGGTGGTGTTTGAGGAAGATCGAGTTCCTGGTCCTCGTAATCATCCTCGTCGTCATCCCCCCTTGTCACTGCATCTATGTCCTCATCTTCCATGTTGAAAACGTCCACCGCGGTTGCACTCGGAACATTCGGTTCTACTTCATCTGTTGACTCGACAATGACCTTATTTTCAGAATCGGATTCGACACTCAAGCTTCCATTAACTGTTTTGTTATTCAAAATTTCAGATTTGTTCTTTGTTATATTTTGCGGTATTTCATGGCCAGCAAATGAGTTGTTGTGGACCAATGGTTTTGACGTATTTTGCATAGCTACTTGCGGCTTTGTAATGTTTAATTTGGTTTCATTTCTGGCACTCACAAAGCTGGTGTTCAATTTTGCCGTATAGTTTCCTGTATTAAACGAAACATTTGCATTAGGTAAAGATTCGCTCGTGTTTAATTGCAAAACCGGGGTTTGAGCGCCATAAGGTTCTCCAGATTGCTGCTGATTCGGAGCAGCAACTTGGATGCCCGATTGGTTTTGGCTAATAAAAGAGGACGCATTTCGATCACTTTGAGCTGGTTGGTTCCATAGTTGAGCGTCTACGTCGGATACTCCAAGAGTCTTTGATCCTTGTTGACCATTGATAGGCTCTGTATTTGAGCTTCCGGGTTTTAAATTATGATTTTCCTGTGACACTGGTTCAACCGGAGCATTAGGAACCTCTGCTCCAATGCTGCCGGCTTCGGGGTTAGATGTTTCGACATTAGAGTTTGGTTGTTCCGGCAACATGTGTTTATTCGAATCGCCTCCTTGCGCAGCTTGTTGCAAATAAGAATTAACTGGGCTGGGATTCATTGGCTGAACGGCCTCAGATCCTTGTTGACCTTCTAGTCCCGTCTGAAGTCCAGAAGCCGCTTCAGCTTCACTACTTCTACTGTCTGCCGAGGGAGGTACATTGTTCTGACCGCTCATTAATCCACCATTACTTTGACCACTGTTTAATTGAACTGTGTCAGCATTTGGTGAGAGTCTTCTGTCAGAATTCAAATCAAGCGGTTGATTGACAGGAGCTGATCCCTGGGTCTGTTGCTGTGACGCATCTGTCTGACCATCCGGGACGCCTGGTTGCGCCTGTAGAAGATTCTCGTGCGTTTCACTACTTCCAGCTACGCTGCCTTGTGCGGGATATAAGTTGTTCTGACCGCTCATTAATCCACCATTACTTTGACCACTGTTTAATTGAACTGTGTCAGCATTTGGTGAGAGTCTTCCGTCAGAATTCAAATCAAGCGGTTGATTGACAGGAGCCGATCCCAGGGTCTGTTGCTGTGACGCATCTGTCTGACCATCCGGGACGCCTGGTTGCGCCTGTAGAAGATTCTCGTGCGTTTCACTACTTCCAGCTACGCTGCCTTGTGCGGGATATAAGTTGTTCTGACCGCTCATTAATCCACCATTACTTTGACCGCTGTTTAATTGAACTGTACCGTCATTTGGGGATACTTTTGGGTCAGAAGTCAGCTGTGGGCCTGAAACTTCTTGCTGTGACCTATCTACTGGAATATCTCCAACGCCTGGAACCGCCTGTTGAACTACTCCTTGACCGAGATCTTGTTTCGAGGTATCTTGCATAACATTCAATTGCACATCCGATTTAGTATCCGTGCCTCCATTTAGAGAGCCCTCTGATGAACTCGGCTCTACGATAGGTTTCATGGCTCCATTTTCAGAAACCGCTGATTGACTGTTCATTACAGGATGAGCACTATCCTGTTCTGTCAGCTGACTTTGTCGACTGCTTTGAGGAACTGCGTCAGCTCTTTCAGGTTGATAAACAGACTCTATATTTTGTTGATAACTTTCGGCTCCTGTTCCATCATTACCGTTGACAACTTTAAGGTCCTTTTCATCAATCACTGGCCCTTGAGGTTCGATACCTTCATTTTCCAGCTTCTGTTTATCTTCTGGAGTCAGCTCTGTCTCTTTGGGCATAGACAATTCCTCTTCAACGTAAACATCGTCTGCATTTCCATCTTTCATAAGAGCGTCATTGCCGCCTAAATCATTCATTTATATAATCCAAAAAACTGTTTGTATTTGGATTCCTCTGACCAAAATAGTTGGGACAGATTTTCCATTTACCACTCCTTTGATTATTAATCTTAGATCATACGAATTAATTACCCAGGAATCAAGCTAGGCGAGAAAAATGATTTTGATATAAACATTGATTTACATATATAAATATTAGTTGAAAAGAAAGCTTTGCAGAAGATGGCCCATATGTTATGATGATTTTGGTACTTTCTTTTGTTACGGCAGGTCATTTTCACATAAGTTAAAAGCTAATTATTATGCATGTTCTATATAAAAAGTACATTTATCAGTTAGGAGTAAATCAAATGCCAGAAAATATAATTACCCTCAGTGTCCACGGGCGCATTTAAGACTCGTGAAGCTAAAGCAAGGAAGACAAAAACAGTAGCAACAAAAGTGTTCATTTCATCTGAAAGCATAAACATGAAAAGCTTCCGAACGATACAAAATGGCGCTTCTAGTCATCTCACCTCACTAGCGAAGTAGAAATAACTGAATTATAACCAAGACCTGAATTTTTTTTTTCATGATTACTTAGGTTTTGTAGTAGCTAACAAGAAATGGAGCGAAGCCACTTATAAATTTCTTTAGAAACTACAGAAAGAGCGCCTCGTTGAAAAGCAAAGTCACCTCAGTGCACAATATGTTTTTTCACTTGAATCGAAATGAAAAAACGAACAAAAACAAGGATAGCTGTTCCGACCACATTCATAGAAAACTTAAACGAATCTTTTTCTTTTTTCCTTCAAATTACTGTAGTTTTTTATGGGCGTGCTATGATGACACAACACTATAAACGCGTAGAAAGTTAGTTAATTAGGTACAGATGACAGTTTTTTTCAAAAACAAAAAAATTCAAAAAATATCTTACACTTTTTCTAATTTTTTGCACAATAATTGTCAGTCTTTTCAAAAATGTTTTTTTTTTGCCAAGAAAGCGCTAAATTAGGCTCGTAAAACCATCAAATTTTCTTTGCCTAAATGGCCAATTTTCATACTACGATGATTAATCGGTCAAATTTACTCAATCGAAATAATTGTAAGACTTCGAACCGGTTTTTCTGTACACTGGGACAATGTTCAGTTTTTTAAATGTCGCTCAAATCACTGCTGTCAAGGCTCTTATAATTTATCACTCGACAAATTCCAATGATTAGTTGTGGTACCTGATTTTGCGTTGAAAAAAAAAGAAACTGAAACACACCCGAAGACTCAGTTGCTCCCTGTTTTCAATAGTCTGCACAAAAAAGAAGTGTTACTTGATGGTTGGTTATTCAGCTGATGAAGAAATTCAGATCCGATCCTAAATTTAAATTCAGAGTTTTCACTGTTTGGATAAAATACTTTTCAAAGGCAAAAAAATATTCAATTCTTACTAAATTGATTTAGACCTTTTATCAAATTAAATCAAAATAGCGTTTAACGCACCTTCGGTGCTTCGAAATTTTTCGACAACTCATGAAAAACCGCTTATATTGGAAACAACATCTGCAAACTTTTATTGTACTCTGACTGCATCCAATTACAGGGTTGGTAATTTCGAACTTTTAAAATTAACTTAATGGGCCTCTCGAGAAATTTGGAGGCCAGATTTGCAACCACTGAGAGCACCCTACTATAGGGTTAGGAATCCAAAACTTTGTGAATTTTTTAACACCTAAGTTTCCCGAAAAAAAAATTGAAAAAACATCTTATCCCGGAAACTAAAAGGATTTGAGCATTCATATCAAAAGGCAGGATTTGAGACGCCTGGGTGTACGCTGACAATAAGGTTAGTAGTTTCAAATTTTTTGAATTTCGTTGTAGATAAGTTCTTTGAGAATTTTTGAAAAAATCAAAAAACGTCACATCTCGGAAACTAAAAGCATTTGAGCAGTCTCGTTTAGCAATCGCATGTGGCAAGATTTGTAACTCTTTAGAGTACCCTGACAACACCGAACTATAGCGTTGGGAATTTCAAATTTTGAAAAATAATTAATTTACACTTTCTAAAAATTTTGAAAAAAATCACAAAAAACGTCACGTCTTGAAAACTACAAAGAATTGAGCAGTCATATTTGGAGGCAAGAGTCGCAATCCTTGAGAGTACTCTGACAGGACCTAACTACAGCGTTGGGAATTTCAGATTTTTGAAGAATAATAATAAAGTAAGTTTTCTGAAAATTTTTGAAAAAATCACAAAAACGTCATATCTCGAAAACTACAAAGAATTGAGCAGTCATACTTGGAGGCAAGATTCGCAATCTTTGAGAGTACTCTGACAGGACCTAAATACAAAGTTGGGAATTTCAGATTTTAAAAACTAATAATAATTCAAGTTTTCTGAAAATTTTTGAAAAAATCACAAAAAACGTCATATCTCGAAAACTACAAAAAATTGAGCAGTCATATTTGGAGCCAAGATTCGCAATCTTTGAGATTACTCTGACCGGACTTAACCACAGGCTTGAAAATTTCAGATTTTTAGATAAAAAATTTAAAAATGTTTTCTGAAAATTAAAAAAAAAAATAACAAAAAAGATCATATCTCGAAAACTAAAAGGATTTGAACAGTCATATTTGGAGGCAAGATTTGTAACTCCTTAGAGTACTCTGCTCTGACAGCACCCAACTACAGGGTTGGGAACTTCAAGTTTTTTAAATTACTTTGTTATTTGAATTTTCTGAAAATTTTTGAAAAACTCAAAAATCGTCTTATCTCGTAAACTAAAATGATTCGGGCATTCAAAATTGGAGGCCAAATTCGAAACCCCTAATTCGATATTGGGCTGCTTAATTTAAACTCGTTAAAAAGCCATTTAAATCAAATTGGAAAACCGAAAAAAAATTCTTAATCATTGCAATATACGATATAGCTTAAACATGCAAAAATAATACGTTGAAAAAGCTTAAACATGGCGAGATAGTGAAGCCCGCATTTAAATATATAATAGAAAGCGCTAAATTAGGCTCGTAAAACCATCAAATTTTCTTTGCCTAAATGGCCAATTTTCATACTACGATGATTACTCGGTCAAATTTACTCACTCGAAATAATTGTAAGACTTCGAACTGGTTTTTCTGTACACTGGGACAATGTTCAGTTATTTAAATGTCGCTCAAATCACTGCTGTCAAGGCTCTTATAATTTATCACTCGACAAATTCCAATGATTAGTTGTGGTACCTGATTTTGCGTTGAAAAAAAAGAAAAAACTGAAACACACCCGAAGACTCAGTTGCTCCCTGTTTTCAATAGTCTGCACAAAAAAGGAGTGTTACTTGATGGTTGGTTATTCCCCTGATGAAGAAATTCAGATCCGATCCTAAATTTAAATTTAGAGTTTTCACTGTTTGGATAAAATACTTTTCAAAGTCGAAAAATATTCAATTCTTACTAAATTGATTTAGACCTTTTATCAAATTAAATCAAAATAGCGTTTAACGCACCTTCGGTGCTTCGAAAATTTTCGACAACTCATGAATAACCGCTTATATTGGAAACAACATCTGCAAACTTTTAGTGTGCTCTGACTGCATCCAATTACAGGGTTGGTAATTTCGAACTTTTAAATTTAACTTAATGGGCCTCTCGAGAAATTTGGAGGCCAGATTTGCAACCACTGAGAGTCACTGAGAGCACCCTACTATAGGGTTAGGAATCCAAAACTTTGTGAATTTTTTAACACCTAAGTTTCCCGAAAAAAAAAATTGAAAAAACATCATATCCCGGAAACTAAAAGGATTTGAGCATTCATATCAAAAGGCAGGATTTGAGACGCTTGGGTGTACGCTGACAATAAGGTTAGTAGTTTCAAATTTTTTGAATTTCGTTGTAGATAAGTTCATTGAGAATTTTTGAAAAAATCAAAAAACGTCACATCTCGGAAACTAAAAGCATTTGAGCAGTCTCGTTTAGCAATCGCATGTGGCAAGATTTGTAACTCTTTAGAGTACCCTGACAACACCGAACTATAGCGTTGGGAATTTCAAATTTTGAAAAATAATTAATTTACACTTTCTAAAAAATTTGAAAAAAATCACAAAAAACGTCACGTCTTGAAAACTACAAAGAATTGAGCAGTCATATTTGGAGGCAAGATTCGCAATCTTTGAGAGTACTCTGACAGGACCTAAATACAGTGTTGGGAATTTCAGATTTTTAAAAACTAATAATAATTCAAGTTTTCTGAAAATTTTTGAAAATATCACAAAAAACATCATATCTCGAAAACTACAAAAAATTGAGCAGTCATATTTGGAGCCAAGATTCGCAATATTTGAGATTACTCTGACAGGACCTAACCACAGGGTTGGAAATTTCAGATTTTGTGATAAAGAATTAAAAAATGTTTTCTGAAAATTTTTTAAAAAAATAACAAAAAAGATCATATCTCGAAAACTACGAGGATTTGAACAGTCATATTTGGAGGCAAGATTTGTAACTCCTTAGAGTACTCTGCTCTGACAGCACCCAACTACAGGGTTGGGAACTTCAAGTTTTTTAAATTATTTTGTTATTTGAATTTTCTGAAAATTTTTGAAAAACTCTCAAAAATCGTCTTATCTCGTAAACTAAAATGATTCGGGCATTCAAAATTGGAGGCCAAATTCGAAACCCCTAATTCGATATTGGGCTGCTTAATTTAAACTCGTTAAAATAACCACTAAAATCAAATTGGAAAATCGAAAAAAAAATCTTAACCATTGCAATATACGATATAGCTTAAACATGCAAAAATAATACGTTGAAAAAGCTTAAACATGGCGAGATAGTGAAGCCCGCATTTAAATATATAATAGATAATAGATTTGTTTCCACGACATAATTTTAATCATAGTACTTAAAATCAATATCTATCTTTCATAGAGAATAAACAACTGAAACTTATGGTTACATGCGCTATTATACGTCGTAAACTTACTTGTTGAGTGAGACAGACCGGTGTTTCAACGGTGATTTTTGTCTTCTGATTTTTGATCCAAACATTGAAAATCTTCCGAAAATCTATATTCGGGTGTGTTTAGTTCTTTTTTCCTTTAATTGTTTTCCGCGCAACAACAAATCATCGGAGTAAGTTGAACGATACATCAATTTGAGTCTTTCAGTCATGATTCGAACAACATTTTAAAAAATTATAAAAACTTTTCCCAGTGTTGAGAAAACCGGTTCAATATTTTAGATGTTTCGTCTAATTTCGACTTTCAGTTGTCCTGCAAAAAGGGAACTCCACCCTCCTCCTCTCCCGGTACTGCTCATGAGTGTTTTTCTTTTCTGTTCTATGCAAATCTGGTAACGTTTTTCTGTGTACCTGGTGTCATTGTAAATTTGTTTCTGTTATTTTGTATGTATGGCATTTTATAAGCCCGCGGGTAAACGCCAAGCTCCTGAATTTATTTTTATCTTTTGAAAAAAAAACTTTCAGT